CAAAATTGCACTAACGGTCACTGAAGTATCACCCGGTTTCAAGAATGGTCACTGAAGGACCAAATGAGTCGCGACTGGGTCTGCTAAAAACCCAGATTCCGGCGCCGTCCGACCAAGACATGGGTCGCGACCACCGGGAATTTAATCCTTTTCACCTGGCACAGCTTGCCCAGGTATGGGTCTTCGTCAATTTCGCCCTGAGCTCGAGTTATTGGGCATTTTTAGATTTTCCGGCAGTGAACTTTTGAGCATCGATTCCGATTACATAACTTGATGAAATTGGGAGAAGCTGGATGCTAATTGAAGAGGAAGAGGAGTTCTTTTGACTGGTACTAATTTCTGGCGGCTTAGGAGGTCGGACAACGCCGGGATTTGGTTGTAAAGTCGCCGGAAATAATGGACAAAAATGGCTCTTGTCAAATTTGCGATGTAGGTCCTCGTGTTTCAGTGTTAAACTCATTTGGTCCTTCAGTGACCATTCTTGAAACATGATGATACTTGAGTAACCGTTAGTGCAATTTTGTAACTTGAGTGACCGTTTTGTTATTTTGATGTAATTTGAGTGATCATTTGTGAAATTAACCCATTGTAATGTCTATTAGAGCATTTTCAAAAGACTTTCTAAAATATAAGATACTCTTTTTTATAAACTTTTTATTTTAATTATTTATAATAAGGAAACCTGACTTCTCATTTTACATTATCATAATTGTATTTAATAAGTTTTAAATTTTAAAGCTCCATGTCTGGAATTATTGAAATCATATTTGAATTTATTGTCTATTGACATCTAGATATACATTAATTGGAATGAGGAAAAATAATAAAGGTTTTCTTGAAAAATAAATAAATAAATAGCTTAGTTTGTTGAAGTGTGCCAAAAATTTTACTTCTCAATTAACTATCTACAGAAACGTGTGTTTCAGAAGAAGAGCGTTTAAAAGCGCCATGGCCTGGAAAACGCGTTTCCAAGTTCCCAAAGGAACAAAAATCATTAAGCTAAAATGGCCCATGCAGGTCTCGAACCTGCGACCTTCGCGTTATTAGCACGACGCTCTAACCAACTGAGCCAATAGGCCATTTGTTGATGATTTATTTGTATACATATTATAATAAATAGTAAATTTCCCAATCCACTACCATTCCAGGTGCTTTTAAGGGCATGTTTGATATAGATTTTTTTAAGAAAGAAGGAAGCCAAATATATTAAGGACTTGTTTGGCATTGCTTTTAAGATTCAAAAGTTGTTTTTGAACTATTTTGATTAGTTTTATAAGAACTTTCAAATACAAATTAAGGTAACTTCAGCGAAAAATCATTCTATATAAGAAGCAAAAATCCTATTAAATGGGTCTCATAATCATTTTATGTAGTGGAAATTACACACAACCCTATGTTTCAAGATCCAACTTCCAAAATTAGATCCAAGTTTTATTAATTCAAAAATCAGATATTTTATTAAATAATATATTATTATTAGATAAATATATTATTAATTAAATTAATTTATCCTCTACACTCACCTCTTCCTTCGATTTCCCATCTCTCTCTCTCTCAAAACCCTAGCTTACCGTCTCTCTCATTTCTCTCTCCATAGCAGTCGGCATTCCTTTTCTCTCCACCTACTCCATCTTCTCTCTATTCCTTGACCAGTGTTGTTGGACTTTGCGGGAAGAGGATCGACGCCTCTGTAAGAGAGCTCCGTCGACTGCGAGATCGACGCAGTTGCAAGAGATCAACGTCGACGCTACAAGGCGAGGTCCGATGCCACTGCCAACAGCCAACTCAAGCTCTGTCATGCCGTCGAAAGAGGAGATCTTCCGTTGTCAAGATCACTGCCTAGGAAGGTGGGTTTTTTTGACATGGTCAGATTTTTCTTGTTCTTTTCGACGATTGCTCTATTGTTGTGGCGATGGTGGAGTTCTTTTTGTTGGAAATGGTGTTTGTGGTTGTGGTGCTGATGACGACAGTGGACGTTGCGATGACGACAGTGAGGTGATGGCGGTTGTGGGGGTGTTGGCGGTTTCGAATAGCAGACTGTCGATGTGGCAGTGGTGCCGTGGCTGGGTGGGTTCTGTGATACTGCGGGTGTGGCGATGGTTTGGTCAGATTTGGTGGCACCGCAATGGTAAGATGGGGTTGAGGGTGGCGGTGCGATGGAGGTGGCGGTGGTGTGCTACTGTAACGTTGTGGGTGTTGTATTGGTGGTGATGTCAACGTGGTGTGATGGGCGGTGTCGCAAGTAACCAATGCGGTGGTCACAAGTGTTGACGGTGGGATTGGACTAGCTGTGATCGTATAATGGACTAACTGTGACATCAAAATTCGACAATTTGTGACTAAATATTAATCTGTGATCTGTAATTTTTTGATCCGTGACCAATAAAATAATTTGTGACGTATAAAATTATTGATTTGTGATCTCAAAATAATCCGCAACCTCCAAAATTTTTAAACTGTGACTAAATGTTTGAACTGTGACCTCGAAATAATTCGTAACGTATAATATTTTTGATTTGTGACCTCAAAAATAATCCGTAACCAATTAATTATGTATATGTGACCATTAATTGTATAATTATGACATCATTATATTTAATTAATTAAATCATAATA